TTTCTTTCTTGTCCTCCTTCTCTTTTCTTTTGTTTGTCAAAATACTTTAAATCCTTTAGTGGAAGTTCTGGTTATGCAAAAGAAGACCAGTCCAGCAGAGGTCACTGAGACAACATGGAGCTGAATTCCCCTGCAGACATAGGGTTTGTTCCCTTTGAAGGGACTTCCTCCTCCTCCTGGGAAGCCTGGAGATTACAGTTCTGGTCTCAAGGCAAGAAGAAATGGGGAAAGCCACGCTGATGCAACAGAGTGCTCCCGGGAGCACAGACACAGAGCAAGAAAAGAAAGCCGGCAAGGAATCCCCTTTGACATAGGTGGCCATGGGTGCAATGAAGACTGATACCAATTTCAGGATATTTATTATTCTGAGATTGTTCTCTTCCTGACTAAGTACTTATTCCTCAAGTAAAGCGTCCCCAGTGCTGAGGATGAGTTACCTAGGATGTTACATTACTTTCCCAGCCCAAACTTCCGGGTTTAAAGCCTCACATTTGGAGGGACCCAGGCCAGGAGTTATAGTTCCAGCTTTTCCTAAGTGCCACTGTGAAAGCCCAGGAAATGACCTTCAGTAACCTAATTTTCCAGCGAGTCATGATGCCATGACCCCCAAAACCATGCTCATGTCCAGTAGTTTGCTAGAAGGAGTCACAGAGTTCTAAAAGAATTATATGCACACAGCTTACTGCATTGCAAGGACACAAAGCAAAGGAAAAGGTCACACAGCAAAATTGGACGGAAAGCAAACATAAGCTTCTAGAGTTCTCTCCTAGTATTTCGTTCCTCCAGCCATGACATGTGACAATGCACAAAAATCCTATCTGGTAGGATTCCTTGCCTGCAGTTCTTACTGAGGTGGGTCATAGAGGAACTCTCTGCCTAGCACATACTAAAATTCTAGCTCCTAGAACAAAAGCAAGAGTTCAGCATAAACCACACTGTTTTATAGCCTAGGCACAGTAAACCACACTTATCACCCCCAGAACAGCGGACAAACTGAAATCCACATTCCCAGATACTGGCCAAGAGCCAGTCTGGCAAGCAGGTCTTTCTGGGGACAGCTATTTCAAGGTTGTAATGTTAGCTTTTCCTGCAGTCACCCTGAGATCTCCCAGCCCCCAGCACTGACCTCGCAGTTGTTCTGTTTTGTCATGTAGCTCAAGCTTGAGAGACCCTGTAAGTGATGGCAGGATTTTCAGTCCCATCCTTTTGTTATCAGTACACAAGAAGTTCTGGAAACCATGTATCCTGAATAAATTAGCTATTTTTATAATGGGTCATTCGAAAGCTGAAATAAAACTCCAAAATATTCACAAAGGATAATGCTATGCATGTGACTTTTTATTTTTATATTTCATATGTTTTCCAGATTTCCTAGAACACAAGCTATTTTTATAATTAGAAAGCAAATTAAAGTAAACATCAGTTTCCGATAAATCTTTTAAGTGATGTGCCTGTGGATTAGACCCAGAGTCTGCAGCATTAGATCCAGATCTACTGGGTAACTGGGACCCCAGGGGGACTTGGCCACCCACACTTCAAATAAGCCTTTTCCTCTTTGAACTCAAACTGAGCACCATTTTCTTCCATTCAGCCTTCATAATTTAAATCATAAAACACAGTGGCCAATGCTTCAAACATATTTATCAGCTTATTAACTATGTTAATCATCTCTTCTGTTGTTGGGACATAATATTTGACACTCACAATTTAAAGGAGGAGGGGTTTAGTTTGGCTCATGGTTTCAGTGGGTTCCGTGGTCGGACGGCTCAGGCAGAAACTGCAAGGTGGAAGGAGCTGGGGGAGGAAAGAAAGCTCCTCACATCAGAGGGCCCAGGAAGTAGGAAGAGAAGGGAGGATCCAGGGTGAAGAATGCAACCCTTCCAATCACATCCCCAGTGATCTCACTTCCAACCAGGCCCTGCCTCTGAAACCCGAGACTTGGGGGAGAGGGGGACATTTAGATCTAAACCATAACATTAACCAAAATAAAAATTTTGAAGATCCACTGATGCCTTTCAGTTTCCAGCGGTAAATGCTGTAAACTGTAGGTTGTTACAATCAACTTTTCCATCCACACTGATAAAATTGTTTTTAATTAAAAATCACTTTCCTAAGTATATCTTTCTGGAAATCAGATTAAAAACTAGCTAGGTTGAGTTATTCTGAAAAATGTTCTAAATGGAAGTAGAAAAGTATTCTACGAGTTTTAAAATTTGACATAAGCAATGCAGTAGATATATTGTTACCACTTAAATAATTTATGGCAGCTAAAGAGAATTCAACACTGATAGATGCCAAAATCAGTATCTAGCTACCCTAAATAACATCTACTCTTATCTAGCCTCCCAGTCAAATATAATTTCTTCATTTGCTTCAATATCTTCACTTCAAAATAACTGAACGTCTGTACCCAAATGTCTCAGTGAGTTTTCTTTCATTGTACCAAAATATCAGAAACTAGGTAATATATAAAGAAAAATATTTGTGTAGTTCACAATGTGGAAGGTAAATGTATGCAATCAGACAGCCTCCTGGGCTACATCACAAAGTAGCAGGTGCTATTATGGTCTTATGGTAGAGAGGAGTCGCTGCAAGGCAAGACAAAAAACAACAGGGTTTGGGGGCCAGGCTTGCTCTTTTGATAACAGTTGTTCTCCTGGGAACTAACCAGGATCCTGAGGAATTCCTTCTGCATTAATCCCTTCTAGGGTAGGGTTTTTAAGTACTTTTAAGTACTTAAAAGAGAGTACTTTTAAGATTTTTCCAGTGCTCTGTACTACCCTAGTCACCTTCTATTAGGCGTCACTTCTTAAAAACTGTAATACCTCAACATTGCCACCCAAAGGAACACACTTCCTGCATGTGAACCTTTGGGGGACACCTCAAAGCATAACCAAACCATAGCACCAAACTATACTTTCCATATAAGAAAGAAAAACACTTTAAAGCTTAGGCTAGATCTAACAAATATACTCCCAAACAGAAACAAGAGTGTCTGTGTACAAAAGTATGTATTAAAAAGTATTATGGCAGTCTGGCTTATCATACCCCCAAATTAGATGCAACTCAAATGTCCATCAGCAGTACAATAGATACACTCAGGTGTACTGCACTCATACGAGGGAATGCTGTTCAGTAATGAACAAGTAAAGAGTTTGGCAAGAATGTAAGAGAAACTTACAGTCGTAGTGTTGAGTACAGGAAGTCAGACAAGTAGAGATGTGTTGCATGAATCCCTTTGTGCAAAGATAAAAACAGGCAAACAGTAACTTGCACCGCTGGAAATCGGGGAAGCAATTATACTGAAGGAGGACGAATGTCTAGAAGGGGCCACAGGTAGCACTTCTTAGTGACTCAGAATATTCTGGGGCTCAGTCTGGGAGGGTGAAGTTTGCATGAGATATTCACTCGTAGAAAGTCACTGCAACACAGAACTAAGAGTTATACACCGCTCTGTATGTTTAGCTGCTATAAAAATATGGAGCGCTGCCAAAGAGGAAGTGGGGATTTACAAAGCGCTTATATATCAAAAGAGACATCATTTATGTAAGCACATCTAGTGAGTGATAACTCTAGGAACATGGAAGATGACATAGCATAAATAGCATGTATATGTTGTCTTACACATGATGTATATATGTCACGCATGTTTCTTCAGTCTTCATGAGTCTGAGTCAGATGACAACCCCTTAACCCAACACAAACGGCACCAGTTCTTGCTCCCATTTGTCTCACCAAACCTCTGCGCATGCCCTGCTGTGTCCTGCATTTCTGGCAGTCTCCAGAAGGTGTCCACTTGAGCCCCCACTCTGCTAACAATGCCCATCCTAGGCACTGTGGTTAGTCCTGCTTCTCCTCTATGGTGTGCAGGACAGGACAAAAGAAAATGACCCACCCATTCCTGTTGAAAGATAAAACATTGCTTCTGGAGTCTGAGTATTTTTTGTATGCAGTGGGAAAATCACATCAGTGTCCTCAAACAGCGCTCTGCATTCCTGTGGGTATGATTGTAGTTTGCTGGATCAGGGAACACAACCAAGAACTGCTACACTGCTGGTTCCCTCTGATGACCAAGGCTTTTCCTAGAAGTTAATCACTGGGCTCCTCCTGCCCTCAGGCTTGATTCTCACAGAGGAAACTTCACAGTCTTCAACAGTCACCCACAGCTTGCTAAAATGCCCATAGGTATCCACATCCCAGCAATATCCTGACATCTCTCAGCGATGACTCCTCACCTGCCCAGAGTGACTTTACCAGACCTCACTAGTTGACAGATTTGCCCAGACAGGCTTAACACCCAGTGCTAGAGCCAGCTGTGCTCTGTACTCTAATCCTGCAAAGAGAAATGGTTGCCTGGGAGACCCAAGCCACTACTATATCAAGCTCTGAGTATTTTCTAAATCTAGCCTAGGAAAGTTGAGATTTTATGATTTCTTGATCTTTTAAGATTTTTCCAGTGCTCTGTATCAAAATAAAGTAATTTCTTTAGGTGTCAATATATTTATAACTAAGATGGAGAAAGCACCTCTACTTTACACTCTAGTCACAGTGATATAAAATAATCAAGTTTTCCTATATTTTCTTCAGATTATGGGGTCATTCTATCAGAATGTTTTGGTCCTTGAGTATCCAGAACAAAGAAAGACTTAAAACTGTGATTAGCATTGCAGTCACACCCTGCTGAGCCTCTAGGTTTACCTAGAGGTAGTGTTCAAACGGCAAACTTCTCCATCTGCTGGCATCAGCCTGCCTCTGCAGCTCACACACTGAATCTTTATCAAAAATGTGAAGGATGACGCTTTACAAATTGGAATGGGGTGCAAGTTCAGGACTTCATCTTAAGCTGGAAACATATTGTGGTCCAATGTCTCTCATTCAAGAGTGATGGAGGAATCCAAACTCCAGAAAGAAACAGAAATGACCATTATCATTTGACTTCAAGACAAATACATGATACTCTTTCCTGTAGCTGAGATTTAAAGTTTGGGCTACTTGCATAATTTGTTTTCTTCTTTTTTTTTTTTTTTCCTTTCTTTTTTCCTTCTTTCTGTCTTTTTTTTTTTTTTTAGCATAGTCTGGTGGTCTGTCTCATATTTGCATGTGAATGTGGTACCTTGAACTCATTTTGAAATACTTCATTTGGCAGAGTCCATGGTCTGTAATTCTTTCCACCATCAGCAATAAGCACAGACTTTTGTATACAGTGGTACTTGTTCAATGGTAGCTTTGTTGATGTTCCAAATTAAACCAATACTTTCAGATCCTTCTTCCACCTACCTATAGGGAGGTCCTATGGTGATGGTCATAAAATACAGGTCAGGTTTATATGGCTTGTGGGGAGGGAGAGATAAAGGGAGTTCCCAGGAAATGCAGCCTTGGGAGGAAGATGATAGGATTCTTTCTAAAAGATGAGAAGTATAAAACAAAAGAGGCCTTTATTCTGAGAACACAGAGAGAGATAACCGGCACCATCACCCCCCTCCCCACGGCTGGAGTCTGGCCATCTCTCTGGCAGACATGTGGCATCGGGGGTATGTAAGTAGCTTCTGTTTGGGGCGAAACCCAAGGGGACATCAGGGATGCAAGGGTAGCCCATTAGTCCTAAGTTTGGCACCACAGATAAGTTCCCAGGGGCGGGAAAGATGACGTCACAGGTAAATTCCTTGGGGTGGGGGAGATAGGAGCTTCCTGGTTCTGGTTGAGGCTTTTCTGGCTACAGAGTCCTGTCTGGGCCAAAACCCTTTCAGAAGATACCTCCTTTTTTTACTCCACAGTCAGTTTGTTTTCTTGATATATTCCAGGTAGCCAGTGATAGAATTCTGGTGAGGCTGAAAAGATAAGAAGTATGAAATATAAATGACCTTTATTTTAAGAATGCGGGGAGAGACCCCCTGACCCTCTGGGGTCTGGCATTCTCTCTGGGGTCTGGCAATCTCTCTGTTGGACACGTGGAGTGGGAGCATGCATGTAGCTTAGGTTTGGGGTGGTACCTGAGGGGCATTAGTGATGCACAGGTAGTCCATCGATATTCATTTTGCTCCACAGGTAAATTCCTAGGGTCAGGGAAGATAGAGCTCAAGACAGAGCCCCCTGGTTCCGCCTCCAAGCTTTTTACCAGCTACAATGTCCCAACTGGGCCAAAATCCTTTCAGCCAGCACCAGTCAATCATAGTGGCTTCACAAATACAAACCCCACCAAAAAAATGTATATATAATTCAGCAGTTCTCCATACTAATAAATGTCTGGAAGCTAATGGTCACCACTTTGAGCACCTCTTATAATTGTAGATGCCAAAGGTAATTTGCATTAACCTCATGATGTCTCAGTAAGTGTAGTATTAAAATATTTATAAAAGTTTTTCTTTTCCTTTTCATTTTTGTCAGACTATTTTCCCAATAATCCATAAAGTAAAAACACTGAATTTGAAAAAGAGGTCATAATATGCAAAATTATGCTCCATGAACTATAATCTTAGACAACAAAATATGCAAAAGGAGAAAGTCCTGTGTTTGTATATAATGTTGGCTTTTAATATATCATACATACTCCCGGCCTACATCTTTGAAAATATTAAGTGAGAAACAATTTTCTTTCCAGAGTTTTGTAAGTTTTAAACTAACAAATGTTACAGTTTGTACCTAAGCACTTTGCTAGTTAGAGTTTTAAGAATGATTAACTAAACAACACAGAGAGGGTCATTGGATGCTTGAAAACCTGGTGTTATGGCTGTGTCTAGATGTTCCAGCAAAGCCTCATGTGGTAATAGGTGGGACTTTTTCAGAGGTGCTGGATCTAGAGTATGTGATACTGGAGTTGATTCAGGTGCAATGCTAGGATCAAAGGCACTAGGATAGAGTGTGAGTGCTACCTGCACTAACAGGAGGTAGCCTGGATAAGATATAAGGGATCGAAAGAGTTATTGCGTTTACTTGTTTGGCTACCTTCTGCCTGCCAAGGATTGTTTCTCTTCTGTGATGCCTGTCTGCCATACCACCCTGCCTTGGAGTCAGCCAATTATAGGCAGAAACCTCTACAAACAGTGAGCTAAATAAACCTTTCCTCTTTTAACTTTAGGTATTGGATATTTTGTCTCAGCAATGAGAATAGTAACTGAGACAGAATTTGGTACCAGCAAAATGGGGTTGTAGCTGTGACTGTACCTGACAGGGTGGTTTAGGAGCCTTTAGAGTTGGCTTGTGGAAAGAGTTTCAAAAGGTTTAAAGATGCCAGTTGAAAAAGCGGAGTCGGAACACATTAGGCTGTACCTGATGGAAGATTTTGGTTGGAATTTAGAAGACTGGAATACTGACTAAAATGATCCAGTTAAAAACAAGACTGGGGAGGTTTCTGCTGGGAAGGACTGCATTGGCTGCTGGACTCCGATAATGTGTGTGTTATATCTTGGCAGAAAGTCTGTTTGTATGTTGCTCATGTTCAGAGACTGTCTGAGACTGAGGTTAAGGGCAGTGGACTAATTAATCTTGCAGAAGAAATTTTAAGGCAGTCAAATGTTAACACAGTGGCATGGCTACTGCTGGGGGCTTTTTGCCAATCTGTGTTGAGAATCAAGAGCAAAGAGCCCAACAGAATGATTTAAAACGTGAGTTTGGCCAGAGCTGAAAAGATAGAGCAAAGGAGATCTTGATTGCTGAAGAGGAACAAAAAAATGAAAAGATGGCCTAAGGGCATCACAAGAAACAGCAGGACTTCACCCTTTGCAGCCTCAAAATTGCAAAAGTGGAAGACTTTGCTTTGAAAAGAAAGCCCAGAGCACCACGTTCAAGAATGGTGATGGCCTAGGGAAGTTGTTCTTTGGGATTTGGTTCATAGGCACTGGACTCTTACAACCAAGAGAGAAAGAAGCCTGTATTCAGCTACTGCTCCAGCTGACAACAGACTTTAGTGCCATCCACATGGTGCTGGTTTTAAGTGCATGAAGAATGCAAGAGTTGTAGGAGCAAGAATATTTCCACCAAGATTTCAGAAACAGCCCTCGGAGGCCAGGCAGTGTACCCCTGAGAAGGCAGTATGTCAAGTTATGAATGTGAAGCAGTGGAGACCCCAAAAGGCTGGAGAAGCCAGGAACATGGATCACCTGAGGAAAGCTGCCAGGAACAAGCAAAGTTGGCCAAAGAAAGAAGTCATGGAAGTTACATCCACCAGCAGAGCCATAAGGGTGGAGCCACCCAAGGCCTTTGGCATTCACATCTTGCCACAGATTGCCTTGGATGCTAGAAGTAGACATGTGGAATTTAATTATGAGTTTTGGACTTGGTTTGGTCTCATTCCTTTGCATCCCTTATTTGTATCTTTAGAATGGTAATGTTTATCTTGTGCCATTGAATGTTAGAGATGGTTAACTATCTTTTCATCTGTATAAGGGCTCACAACTAAGAGTTTGCCTTAAATCTCAGAGGAGACTTTGGACTTGAATTTTTCATCAATGCTGAAACTTAGGACTTTGTCAACTCTGAGAGGAACTAAATGCCTTTTACATAAAGGGATGTGCATGAGTCTTTAGATGGGCAGGGGTGGAATGTTATCTTGTGTGTCTGGATGTCCCACCATGGCCGCATGAGGTCAAGGGTGGGGCTTTTTCAGAGGCTGAGTGTGTGAAGCTAGGATTGATTCCTGGTGCAACACTAAGGTCAAGGAATCTAGGATTGAGGGTGAGTAGCTTGAATAAGATACAAGGCACAGAAACAGCTGTGGTCTTTGCCTGTTTTGCTACTTTCTACCTGCCATGATTTGTTTCTCTGTGATGCCCCTCTGCCATGCCAACCTGCCTTGGAGCCAGCCAATTATGAACTGAAACCTCTACAAACTGTGAGCTAAATAAACCTTTCCGCCTTTAGCTTTGTGAGTAATGAGAAAAGTAACACTGAGTTTGGTTTACTCTCTCAATGGAACAAAATTCTAAAAACCAATAATGTTTTTATAGGTGACTCTGTGTTTTGCAAAGTCAGTTCCTGTGATTAATCAATTGGGTACAAAGAGCAACTCAAAATTCGGGCCAACAGTGAGTTAGGTTTCACACAGGCCCTGAGACAAGGTGGCAGGGGGCTGTCCCTTGAGCATATTGCATCACGACCATCCGTTGAAACCCTGCGATTAGCACATTCTTCACTTTCCTTCCTCAGTCAGGGTTTGCTCATGTCTCTTTGCAAAATATTCCCAGAATTCATCTCTTCATTTGTTCACATATACAGTCGAATGTTTTTTTCTGAAACCTCAGTCTTGCTGATTACTACTGCATTAGTAGTAATAGCAGAGTAAAACAAATACATATAAACTCACACGGAAAGCCCATGCAGTTTCCTGTTTATGTCAGCCTAGTTTCTATGTCAAGTCCTCTAGGATGCAGGAAAATCTGACCTCAATCGGTCCACTCAACTGGCCCCTCGGCAAGGGCTCCCCAGAGCCAAGTGGCTGGTGTGGGGGTGGCGGTAGAGAACCTCCAGCCCTGCTACTTCTCCCATGGGGTCCTGCCACCTGTCCTGGCTCTTCCTCAGAAGTGGAGCTAAGTCCCTTGCTCTCCAAGATGCTCGGGATACCTGGGGGGTCTAATCCTAAGAAAAAAGTTCTAGACTCTCGGCTCCAGGATGGGTAACATCTCCCCTCTGCCCCCTACCCCACTGCTACCCTTCTCCTTGGCCTTTTCATTACTGCCCAGTCTCCTTGGCCTTATTCTGAATGTGTCTCTTCCATGTTCACTTGAAGTTTAGAGCCAGGAAGCCACCTGGCCAACCTCAGAGCCAGTAAGCACTTCTAGTGGCAGAGTAGCTCCTCCAGGGAGAGAAAGGAAACTCCTGGGAGAAAATTCAAACTTGAGTCAATATTTCAAAATGTAACACCCAGAAGCTTATGTCTTACTGATGCTTTTAGCCTTTCCTGGACCTTCTCCCTCCAGGTCCATCTTTTCTGAGCTAAGCTGTGTCTTGGAGCGAGAAGGACAAAGCATTACCCTTCATTTGCAGAATCTGAAATTGAGACTCTGAATCTCCAGCCAGAGCATATTCCACAGCAGATGCATTAGACTTCCAGTGATCTGAGGCACAGGGAGGAGATGGGCTCTGTATCTTTCCAGCTTTTCAAAAACTCCCCCAGGACCACACCTACTAAGCCAAATTACTGTACTGGGGAGCAAATCACACACGCCAGGAAGCAGAAGTGATGGCAATCTGTCGGCTGCCTGTCTGCAGGTACTAAGGACATTCAATAGTGTAACAAATCCAGGAGCTCAGTCAGCCATCTAAATATTTAAAACCGCAGAACCTGGATAGTAACCTGGATGGACAGAGTCATCCGTTAAAAATGCTGAGCAAAATGTACTTACTTCCATTCACTGAGCATAAAACTCAGCTCAGAGTTTACACCACTCCTCCTTTCCAGGTTGCCAGTGACCAGTACTGGGTGCCTCTCAGGCTCTGTCGAATTTCCCCGGGCTTCAGAGCTGCCAGTTTGTAGGTCACAAGGTCAACAAACAGCACAAAAGTACAGAGTGAACAGACTAAGTAGGTTAACTGAAATGGAGTAACGATTGAGGTTTAATGAACTGATCCCAACTCCCATTTCAGGAAAGAGAAACCTCTTCTGAAGTGAACTTGAGCAAGCTATGCAACTTTTAAGCCTCGGTTTCCTTATTTGTGACATGGGAACCAAAAACAGAACTTGCATCATAGAGCTGGTGAGAGGACTGAACAAGGTGACACATTGGAAGCACCAAGCCAGAGCCCTGAATTTGCTAGTTGAGGTTCAGATGAACTTGAAGTCTGTCTGCCACCACAGTAAGCCCAGCTCTGAGACACAAGGGACAATAACCTGCCTTGATTCCCAATATCTTTCTGTGGTGGTGGCCACCAGAATGGGCCACACAGACCCACACATGCAAGAATAAGCAGACAGCCTCACTGTGTTTGCTCAGAGGCACCAGGGGCTACTACCACCAGTAACTAAGCTGGGTACCAGGGACTCCCCTAACAGCTGATTTTGCCCAGTGGCCTCAATGGATCGTCCAGAGACTGCAGAGCAGTCTGGGATACGCCCTCCCCGCCCGCCCCCTTCACTCTGGTCTGAACCCCTCCTGGGCTAGGCTGGCTCCATCCCCATTACCTCTCCTAAGGGCATTCGCCCAATAAAACCCTGGCACGTTTAATCCTGTCCTGGCATCTGCCTCCCTGAAGACCTGAACCAATATACTTTCCTCGGCTCCTGTCTCACAATGGGCAGCTTGTATTTGTTTTGGAGACCTTTCAGTCCCTGCAGCTATCCATAGCTACTATTCCACAGGGAAGGCAGGGAAGCCGCAGAGGAGAAGCAGGAATAACACAGGTCAGCACAATAATGTGAGTGCAAACGTGGGCAATGAATTCCAATACTTCTTCAGGGATTTCCAGTTGCTGGTGATTCTGGCAGCTGAAAGAGGGGCAAAGATGTTAATCTCCTTGATCAAGTAACTTACACTCTCAAGGACTCAGATCCCTAGGCCACGACAGAAGAAGCAGATAATAGATTTTGGAGGGACCTGCAGACATCAAACTCCTTGAGTCTCAAAATTCAGTGACACCTATATCATGCTTTTATGCCACCTCACATACTGCCTGATTTATATTGTTTTTCTGGAATTAAATTCACTTTAACTTAAAATTCAAAAGAAATGGTTTAAATGGAAACATAAGCTGGAGAAGTATCACTCAGCATAAATAGAAGAAGACAACATTACTAAATTCTAGTTAGATGCTAAAATCTGAGAAGATTAGAGTCAAGCCTGCTTTCCGATAAAAATATAGACGAGCAAATGCTAAAGACATACAAAAGCCAAAGGCTTTCCAGAAAGACTAAAAGAGAAGGGGAAAGGGAACAGAGCCTGGCTTGGGATTCCTCAGCATGTAGGATGCAGCCTGGAGCAGCCCCCAGTCACCTAACACTGTCCTGTCCTCCTCAGTGTGGCTCGATGGCTCCCCGTGCAGGCTGCATCCGACCTGTTGAAGTTCACAGTTTTTCCCCCCTGGAGAGATGCTCAGTTCAGGCTGGCTGAATGCTGCATCAAGAAAACATACGCCATTACTTCACCCTTGCACCAGTTTCCTGCATGACTCCAGTACACCAAAGGACCTTGGAGCCAGGGTCCACCTGTCGAAATGGTCTGCAGCAAAACTAAGAAACAGTAACTTTGCATTTGCTGTGTTCCATCTCTTTTTTTGCACCTCCTCAAGGCCCACAGTATAAGGAACAGAGGTTTACTTTGGCTCACAGTTTGAGACCTTTCAGTCCTGGCTTGGGTCACTGGCTCCAAGGAGAAAGGGCATGGTGGAAGGCTCACCTCATGGTAACCAGGAAGCAGAGAATGAAGGAGGGAACCAGAGGCAGCTATAACCTTCCAGGCCACAACCCCAGTGATTTACTTCTGCCTCCCAACAACACATTGGCTATAAACTCATCAACAGACTGATCCACTCATGAGCACAGCATCCCCATGAGCTAATCACCTCCCCAGAGCTCCACCTGTGAGTGCTTCAGGCTTTGTATCAGGCCCCTAAACAAAGCATAAACCACAGCAGACACCATATCCACCAGCCACAATGTAAAGGAGAAGAAGTCTAATTTGGCTCAGGTTTTAGGAGGATTCATTCCCTGGTTGGCTGACTCCAAGGCAGAACTATGGAAAAAAGGCACCGTGGAGCAAAGTTGTTCACTTCACGGTGGCCAGGACTGGAGCAGGGGAAGTGGCAGAGAGAATGGAGCAAGGGACATAAACAGACGCCCCTCCCAGCATGTCCCGACCTACCCAGACACGGGAATGTGGCTTACTCACCCCTGGAGCCAGCTCCCTGCAGGATCCACCTCCACTTTCACAACCCTGGCTCCTCACTCCCCATCCAGGGGTTCAGCCTTTATTTTGCCTCTGCTGCTTCCTGGCCCCCTTCAGAGCAGCCTTCCTTCATCCTACAGCCCGGCCAAGGTTTTCATCTGCCTATCAGAGCTGCCTGGACACTTTCACACTAATATATGAATGATGGCCAAACTAGCTTAAGGCTGTGATTACCCTGTGGACACTCAAAGCTGATAAAGTGACAAATTTGTTTTGGCTTTGTCATTTGTCAAGGACTTCAAATTTCATCACGTCAACCTCATGTAATTTTAAAATGAACCATTTTGATGGGCTCCACTTTCCCTCTTAATTCAAGCTATTTCTGGCCTCCTCCTAATGCAAACCCGCATCCTCCTCTGCTATCATGCTTCCCCGCACTGTTCTGCAACACTGCATGCATTGCACGGGGCCCACCCCATCTCTGCTCCGCCCTGCAGGCTGGAGCCGAAACCCCAGAAACTGGACAACAAAGGTCTAGGAATGCTGCCAGACCTACAGGCCTGGAACTCTCGTTTCGACAGTGAAGCTGCAGTGGATCTGAAGGAAATAATCCTGCTCCCCACTTACGTACCCATTTAAAATAATCAGCTGTGGAGACAAATTTAAAGAACTCTTATGTCCTAATATGTTTGCTTTCACCAGGGTTTAACACACACACAGACACATACCCGGAACTGCAAAGGGAAGAGTACAAAGATCAGCCTGTGTACAGTGGAACACAGAGCGGTTTGTTTCACACAAATAAGGTAACTGGGGAGGGATTCCTTCCTCTCTCCCAACACACATGCTCGCACACACACATGCACACACACACCCATATCACACATGTACACACGCAAACACACACAATACACAAATATATGCACACATACATGCACACATACTCACGCGCTCTCCTCTCCTCTCTCTGCCCTTCCCTCTGGCACAGCAAACAAGGGGCCTAAGGCTTCCAAGTCACAGACCCGGTTCTCACCAGCCCACCCCCCAAGACTGCAGTGCACCCACCCCATCCCTGTCTTTGAGAAGTAAATGGCAACAACCAGGGCGCCCTAAGGAGCAGCGATGGGGCACACACAGAACCCTGGGAAGGGGGCCCCTGACCACCACAGCTCCTTCCCGTGACCCCCAGGGCGGAACCCACGCGAGGTGAGGATGATGATGATGATGATGATGGCATTGCAAAAATAAAAATCTGCGAAACAACTTTGCCAGCCGCCAAAGTTTCACACACTGCCAGCGCCCTGGGCGGGCCGAGGATCTGCAGCCGCAGGAGGGGGACCAACTGGGCCTCCCGGGGCTCTGCTGATCCCGAAGGCGGGGAGCGGTCCGAGCGAGGGCAACGTGACCGCTTGTCCAAAGGCCACGCCCAGCGCCCTGCACCGCCCACGCGGGGGCGGACCCTGGTCCGCGGCGCTCAAAAGCGGCCGTCCCGCGTGGGTGCGGCGTCCTGCATGGGTACCTCGTCCGTGTCCCGCCCGGTCCCACCCGCAGCCATGGCGAAGCCCCTGAGCGACCAGGAGAAGCGGCGGCAGATCAGCATCCGCGGCATCGTGGGCGTGGAGAACGTGGCCGAGCTGAAGAAGGGCTTCAACCGGCACCTGCACTTCACGCTGGTCAAGGACCGCAACGTGGCCACCACGCGCGACTACTTCTTCGCGCTGGCGCACACGGTGCGCGACCACCTGGTGGGGCGCTGGATCCGCACGCAGCAGCACTACTACGACAAGTGTCCCAAGGTACGCGGGCCTCCGAGCAGGGTCCCTAACAGGGTCCCCAGCGCGTCCCAGCCGCGCCCCGCCCCAGCCACGGAGACCCGGACCGGACCGGGCCGGACCGGACCGGACCGGACCGGACCGTCCCCGGGCTGTGGGCAGGACTGACTCGGCCTCCCCGCCAGCACTCACCCGAGCCGCCGGCCCACAAAGTTTTGGGGAGTGTAACGGCCTCGGGCCTCGCATTCCAAAGTCCTGGCTTTCCGCCTGCTAAAACAGATAAATGCCCAGCCTTGGCCCAGCTTAGTGTTTGAGGAAGGGCGACAAATACAGAGTTCCTCAAATGACAGTGAGTTCCAGGCTTCTGCAAGGGACACCTCAGCACGCACAGCACGCACACATGTCCTCCTGGGCCCTGGGCCCTGGCCCCTGGCCTTGGGGCTGCCCAGGAACTCTGAGTAGGGACCTCCTCTGCCCACATTGCGGGAGCTGGAGAGGCCCCTGGGTGGTTCTGGCGCACGGAGGCGCACTATCTCCTCCTGGCCAATCTGGAAAGGGGACAAGAGGCCCTCAGGAAGAACTGTAAGGGACAGGGCAGGATCTGTGTAGAGTCAGGGTGAGAGCAGCTCTGGCTTCTGCAGAAAGGGCTGCCTGAGAACAGCAAAGACTAGAAAAGCTGGTTGGAGAAACTGAACGACTGGAATATACCCTGAGGCAACGGGAAATACACAGAAATATTTATTAGGATTTTTAAATATGTAAAAACATGAAAAATGATCCATACTCCCAAAGCTCAAGAACTACAGGAATGTTGGTTGTTTCCTCACCCCACCCCCGCCCAGTACATGAGCTTAGACCCAAGACCGTGACACTGAGCTACATCTCTGGTCCTTTCTCCTTTTTACTTTGAGGCAGGGTCTTAGTTAAATTGCCCAGGCTGGGCAGGAATTTGCAGTCTTCCTGCCTCAGCCTCCCTTGTGCTGGGGTTACAGGCATACACCACCACATCCATTTTAAGAATTTTTAAGAGAGAGTAAGATTTTCCTAATGAGAAATTGCAACTTAACAGCACTTTCAAGTGGAAAGTCAAAGTCACCCCAGAGGTCTATCAATTGCTTCCCAAATGTAGCAACTGCTAAAATGGATCCTTAGAAATCTAAGTATATCCTTAGAACACACTTTATGTGTTTCTCTAACTACTGTACCATTTCTGATTTGCACAAAGGGGAATGGTACAAAGTTTGCCAAACTGTATCTTGCATTAAAAATTGTTTAAATAATTTTTGAACTGAAGAGTAGATTGAGACACACACACGCGCGCGCACACACACACCCTTCTGCAGCATTCAGCACCTAGAGCCTCCTGTGGTTCTTCTGTCTGAGGTTATATGGCTTTCCCGTCCTCTGCCTGCTTTTTTCTGTGTGTTCTCCTTTCCTACTGAGTGCAAGGTTAAACCAGGCATTTTGCCTGACACACTGGAGGTAATCAGAGGACAGGGTGCATCACACACATTAATAGTGTCTCCACCGTGACAGTCATTTCCCTAAACAGATGCTGCCTGCCCTTGATCGGCAGATGTGCCCATGCTTCTTTCCCTGTCTCCCTCGGAACCCTGCAGATGAACCCCTAATCTGGATTTCTAATCTGTGTTCTTCATTAAACTCCATTTCTACATTTCCAGGTGTTTAGCGAGCATATCCAGATCTCTTCCTAGTTCCTCAGTTGCAGCATACTAAAAACTCAAGTGAAATCCCTTGCATCTTGTCCTATGCTCTCTGTTGCTAATTTGTCATCTTGACAGTAGGCGCACTATCTCCTCCTGGCCAATCTGGAAAGGGGACAAGAGGCCCTCAGGAAGAACTGGAAGGGACAGGGCAGGGAGAGTCAGGGTGAGAGCAGCTCTGGCCCCTGCAGAAAGGGCTGCCTGAGAACAGCAGAGAACCCAGTCACAAAACTCGAGTCTCAGTGCGACTTTCTCCTGTATTCCCCATTCAAAAGTTTACCAAAATCTGCCAGTTGATTTCCCCAAGTTGCCTTGAACTTACCCACCCTCTTCCTTTCCTGCTTCCTGCCTAGCTGAGGCCCCTGCTGCTGGTCTCTCACAGCAGACTTCTCAATGGTGACCTTGCTTCCCAAAGTGGTGTCAATGTCAGCGTGAGGCTGACTGACTATTGGACGGATTTTGTCTTAACAGCGAGCCATCTTTCTGCAGTTTAACTTCAGAGGTGTTGGGCAGGGCTCCTGCATGCTCCATTCCAGGATGACTTTTTTCAGCTCCATGAATGCATGCAGTTTGCAGGCCCATCTCATTGTGTGCACAGCAGATTGATTAAACTTCCAGTGCAATGTAGCTTGGTCCTGGTGCTCGGTCCTTCCTGGCTCTATCACTGCTATGGTCTTTAAGCTCCCAAAAGCCTTTCTCCACCAGAAGAGCTGGTCCTTCCTACCTCATCTTCTGTATCCTGGACCGTTCTTACTCCCCTACAAGCTAATCTCCACTTTGAGCCACTGCTGCTAACTTGTGGCCCCCTGTCAGAGCCTTGTCACCCACCCAGCTCTGCTCTTGCCTGCCCTGCAAGTCTCACTTTTGATGTCCCCTGTCCCCTACGTCTTCCTGGAATTACCTGTGTCCTCAGCTGAATGCTGGGAATAAAATAAAAAAGTATCTCAAAAACTATGGTTCTTGGTATGTCTTCTTTATTTTTGCAAAACTTTTGAAAATATCCACTTTTGTATAATATACATAAAAGGGTAGTAATAATGGTGCAAACTTAATTTATAAAGTATATCAGAAGTGATTGATTATTTTATTGCTAAGCATGTGCAGTAAGTTTTTGGAGAACATTCACCAACAGGATGGCCACAGATCTGCTTTAAGGTCTTTTATGTTCTCAAACAGCCCAGTTAAAAAGTTATTTATGATAAAGTGGGAAATTTCCTGTTCTTATGAACTCTGTCATGTAAGGAAGGTCTCTCATTGATTTTATTTTGGTCAGTAGCATATTTTTAGGAACACCTTGAAATGCCTTAAATGCAGCCTTTTTCCACTTTTTGTTTTTAATTAATACAGGTTTGCAGTACATAATGATGACAGTCCTTGCTGGGAGGTGGTGCGTGGATGTAATGCATCTCTCTCTTTTTCTTCCTCTTTCCCAACCCCTCTCTTCCTCCTCTCTGTCTCCTGGCCCCCTTTCCTTTTGTAAAAAGTCTATCTTCCTGTTTTGTATGATCTACCTTTTATTTTGCTTTTTATTTATATTTTGGGTCATTTTTAATTTTAAAATTTATGCTGAAGATGTTCTTGATTCTATAGAGTGATCATGTTTCACTTTATGACAATACATCAAATTTTCATAACCACACAGTAAGCAAATATAAATACTTATTACACTGTTTTTCATTAAGCTTGTGTGTCTAATTTATTTCACTTAATATTATGGTCTCAAGGTGCATCCACTTTGCTATAGATGACTGAAGTGTATCCTTCTCTACGGCAGAGTAGTGCTCTACTGTGTACAAATATCATTTTCTTTATGTATTCATCTGTTGACGGACATGTAGGACACTTTCAATATTTAGCTATTATAAATTATTCTGCCATAAAGATGAGTATGATTGTGTCACTATAATATGATGTCTAAATCTATCAGGAAGATACTAGGAGAAAAGCTGGGTTGAGTACAATGTCTATATTTAGTCTTTTGCGGAGTTTCCAGCTCCATTAATGATTTTCATCATTTAAAATGTTTTTTTCCCATGACTAGAATTCTAACCCGAGGCCTTGTTCCTGCTAGGCAAGCACTGTCACTCGGCTGTATTCCCAGCCCTTAAAATATTCTTAATATATATTTTAATCTGGTGTAAGTCCACACTCCTTTTGAATCATTGAGGAGGAGGAGAAGTCAGTTCCCCAAGGTCTGGCCTTACCATGGCAAGTGTTAGATGTGCACTGTGTTCCCAAAGGCGGAGCACTGTGCTAATGTCACAGAGATGATGAAAATACACCCAAGGAAGAGTGAAGAAAAGACCAAGCTATCATGACACAGACGTGTATTTGTGGCTTAAGATTCTGATTCTTGTGACAGTGGTCACTGGCGTGCAAAAGCCCAGCCCTGGGTATGAGTTGGGCTCTGCATATGGCCTGGGTCTGGCCAGGAAAGCTGCCTGTTCCCACTGCCACTGAGGTGGCCAGCGGCTGGGGGACCCTGATGGTGGCGTGCAGACATCCCTGCAATGTGGATGAAAATGACCTGCATTGCACAGTGATGCCACACCCTCCCCACCCGCAAGGTGGGGGCTTGCCCCTCAATTCACTTGTTTCATAAAATGAAAAAGTGAAATTTCTAATTTAACCTTCTCAGAGCATTTTATTTAAATGAATAATTACAATATGCTAAACATTATGGTCAATATTTATTACACTGAACTGTTTATGTATTTTCTGATTGGTCAAGTACTTTTCTTTTGGGTTCTTACAGAAATGTTAGAATCCCAAAGTTACAAAGGTGACTTTGTTGTTTCTTGTCTGCTGGCAAAAAAATGAAGGTAACCAATATGGAGAGTAAGATATTATTTAAAAGGAAAGTGAGGCTACTGATTTTTTTTAACGAGTAAACTATTCTAAAATAAAATGGTCTAAGACAGATCTGAATTTTGCATTTCTCATTTTTGACTCAATATCATTTACCTGGCTTTTCCCATGTCAAAGGCAAACAGTTTCTAAGTCAATAGAGAAATTTTCCAAAGTCATCAAGAGCAAACCTAGTAACTCAGCTTCTTATTCAGAAGGAACCCTTCCCAGGTCATAAACTTTTGGAATAATTGTAACTCTAACACCATAGAATTCCTTGCCGTGATCAATCAAGGCAGAATATTTTCTAGCCACAGAGTGTTTCTTGATTCTATAGTGTAGTCATTTTTTATTTTATGAAAAAGTAAGTCAAATTTTCATAAGCACATAATAAGAAAATAACAATACTTACTACACTGTTTTTCATTAAACTTGTGTGTCTAATTTATTTCACTTAATATTATGGTCTCAAGGTGCGTGTGTTTCAGCCTGTCCCTTCCTCCCCTAAGCAAACAGCCTCTGGGGCTGCTTCCGTTTGCCCCAAACATGTGTTATTCATGAGATTCACAAACAGGAGGGGGGAAACAAAGAACACTGAACCCAATTAACTGGATGAGTTTTTTGGGAGCCCGGCCATGGGGAAAATATTTGACTAAAACAATGCAAAATGATTTTCCCAAGGTAATTAATAGCAACACTTTTATGCCTCCTATCACACATCTGTAGAACTCATCTGAAAAAAACTAGCCCCACTGGTGTGCTATTTCTTGGTGGACTAACATGTGAGCTTTGTGTTACTGTGTTGACAAGTACGATGGCTCACACGACCTTTTTTTCTTTATTTCAGAGGGTTTATTACCTTTCTCTAGAATTTTACATGGGCCGAACCTTACAGAACACGATGATCAACCTCGGCCTGCAGAATGCCTGTGATGAAGCCATTTACCAGGTAAGCTGTGCTCATAGTTCTCTCCTCCCTCTCCTTGTAAATTTCAAGTATACTTCAAGTACCTTGAGAATATGCTGTGTGCACACCCCAAAAGCAAGAAACAATGTAGACATGGCCCTCACAAACTATTATAAATATGCATTACTAGTGATCGCTAGTGCAAGAACAGCCGGAAAAAGAAGTCAGAGAACTGGTTGTGACACATGAGAATTTTCTTTTGTGAGTAAGTCTTTGACAGCATTTCCCCAGCAAGTTACATCTGGGAAATTAGCATCTGAACAAGCCTTTACAGGCCTCACTGTGAGAACTGCTAGCTTTCATCTGGCCTCTTGTCTAATACAAGCACTTTTTAAAGAATGATCACAGTCTGACAGTTATTTATATACAAGACAACATATGAAAATGATAAGCTTTTAAAACACTGTTGTCATATTTTCTGTTGCTTAATGAGCTATAAAACGCACTTCCTCTTTAAAGAAGGAAACTGAGCCTAATGTACTAATTTGTTTTTATGAATGTATTTCACTGTTTCTGCCCCGAGCTTCAGGGATCTCCATACCAAAAGCAAATAGTCTTAACTTATTTTGATGGGGTTCAAGGGAAGAATGTGTATTTGTAAAGACAAACTGTAAATGCAACTTCAGGCTCTGAGCCTCTCCCTTGCCTTGGGGTTCCCTGCTTATGTGGCCAGCTGCTTATCTCCAAGGGCTTTGTGAGGGGCAGGGAGAGCATTTCCTGTGAAAGAAACATTGCGGCATTCCTCCACTTCCTCTTTTTCTTTACTTCTCACAGCAGCTGAAAGTAATATGGTTTCCGTGGAGTCATCCACGACAGGTGAGATACACAGGGTTTCAGAGCTTCAAAAAGCCTGCATGTTGACACTCACAGTTGGTTTGCTCCAGTTAATCGCAAGCAAATTCAAAAGCCCCATCAATAGCAAAATGCAGCAAAACTGTGCTTGAACACTTACATAAGGTTTAATTATCCAAATTCGTGTGAGAAAGCAACACTAGATATAAGGACAGAAATCGAGAAAGGGGGCTCTGTGAGAATTGGCCTCAACTTCAAGGAAACTTACCACGTCTTATGCATGTGTTTTCAACACCTGAATTAATTTTCCATGTTTAAAGCTGTCCAATCCCGTGGTTGCATGACTTTCCCAAGAGAACCCAGTCATTTCGCAACAGGCTGTCTTAGCCAAGTATGGGCTAGATTATCGTCGAGGCAGAGTGGAAGAGGTCATATATCTTATCTGGCCATCATTTTCCTCATTGTAAGCTAAGCAGTCCAAAGTGATCTGCAGAGCTGCAGGATTCTGATGGGATCCCACAGCTGTGCCAGCTGATCTGGCTTCGTGACCATCACACTTCAGGGCTGAGAACTCGCTGAAAGCCATGCAGCACCCCAGGAGGAAACAGAGGCTTTTAGGTCCACCCAGCTAGACCGAAGGACTGAGGTTCCCCATGGCCATCAAGCCCCGGGTTTAACAGCAATGAGTCACAGGTTTGGGGTCAGCAAATTCCGAACTCACTGACTGATTATGCTGTGGTTATAACAGAATGAACTGCAGTCTTTCCTGCAGAGTCTGTCTCAGGCTTTTTTTCTTATTTTCCAAACACCTCAGTCCAATTAGTATCAGCTTGGTAACGGACCATTTTGAAAGTTTTAGCCCTACAATGCATATACCAAAAGGAAAAAAAAAAAATAATAGTGCTGGATAACAACATTTACTAGGGGAACATTTGCCTACAAATGGTCCTCCTGTTTTGTATAATTTCATTTAATGACCTACAACTCTAAATGAGATAGGTACTGTTATCCTCAGTAGTTTTCAAATAAGAGAAGAAAAGCACAGAACGATTAGAAGCTTGAGCAGCATCAACAGCAGGGAAGCAGCAGGGTCTGCAGTGGCCATGCAGATGCCACTGCTGTGCCACCTTTCCCATCGGCACCTCGTGTCACCAGCTTCCCCTGGGGGCTAGGATAGCAGCCGATGCTAAATCAAGGCACAGCTGGATCTCAGTGCCTGGCCATCTTGGAAAAGAGCTGCGTGTGTGTGTCCACACTCAGTGTTGTTTCTCTTTCATCATCAGCTCGGCTTGGACATGGAGGAATTAGAAGAAGTTGAAGAAGACGCTGGACTTGGCAACGGTGGCCTCGGGAGGCTTGCTGGTGAGTGGCAGGGAAGTGTGTTACACTGTCCGGTTGGTCGACATCTTCTCAGATGCTGTACACACCCAGGCTGAAAAGAACCAAGCAAGCTTGCTGTAAGCAGTGCAAGGGGTGGCCTGAGAGATGCATTTGTTCGTGAGCTTTTTCACGGTGGTAGTTTCGTTTCAGAACAGAAAGGAACTTGAACAAAAAAGACACTGCTAAAACCCCAAGGTTAACCAGGTCCTTCCTGCAAACATACAGGTTTCCAAAATGGCCTCTTTACTTTCCTGCTCAACGCACATGCATTGGTGTGGGTGAACAGAGATGGCAAGCCTTGCATGCTCACTGGATAGTTCACTTTTTAATTAGCTGGTGGGCAGGAATCTGCTAATATTATTGGGGTGGTTTAGTTCATTAATGTCCTTTTTGTGCAGATATAATTTGAGTTCTTTGCTTTATCTGGGGAATGGATTTCTTTTAGCCAATACAAAGAAAAACATTTAAAAAAAATAATTCCATTTTCACTGAATTAAAAATATGCACACCTACAACCAAGCAGTTCTACTTTTTTATATCTGTCCTACGTAAACACTCAAACTTGTGCACAGGAAGACATATGAAAAATATTATTCTTGTAGTGCTGTTTGTAAAAACAAAACATTAAAAATAACCTAATAGTCAAAAAATAAAATTGACTTACATAGTTATTTAAGTTATCTTAAAATCATTTCAGGATAATGCCATTTATTTTTTTTTTTTTTAACAAGGAATGTTTTCTGTGACTGTGTATGTGTAAACATAGAAAAAGGGTCTGGAGGGGGCTGGGGATTTAGCTCAGCGGCATAAGTGCCTGCCTTGCAAGCAGGCAGTCGTGAGTTCAATCCCCGGTACCGATAAAAATGAAAAAGACAAAAAAAAAAAAAAAAAAAAAGGAAAAGGGTCTGGCTCAGCTTGGTGGCTCATGCCTGTATTCCTAACTACTTTAGAGGCTGAGGCAGGAGGATTGCAAGTTCAAGAAGAGACTGGGTAACATGCAAAGACCTTGTATCAAAATAAAAAATAGAAGGGCTGAGGATGTAGCTCAGTGGTAAAATGTTCTTGAGTTCAATCCTTGGTACGAAAGAAAGAAAGAAAGAAAGAAAGGGAAGAAGGAAAGAAGAAAGGAAAAGATCAGGATTTACTTTTCTTTTTCTTTCTTTCTAATTTTTTTCAATGCTGGAGATGGAATCCAGGGCCTTGCACATGCTAGGCAAGTGCTCTACCACTGAGTTACCCCAGGCCAAGGTCTGGAATTTAAAAACCAAATTCAGTTTAAATATTAAGCTGCTCCTGGTAAGGAAGAGTGCAGAGTTGGGGATAGCAAGCCAAAGAGAATGTCTTGGGCGAAGGATGTAGCTCAGTGGCAAAAGCACCTGCCTGGCCAGCACAAGGTCCTGAGTTCGATTCCCGGTACCCCCCCCCAAAAAAAGATAATGTTTTACAATATGATGAGAGAAACTGAAGTGAGAAACTGAAAGAGTAAATAAGATCTAACATGTACAATAGATATTATGAAATGAGAAGAAATTGTTCAAAAGAAAAAAGAAATTAGGACGGGGGAAAGGAGGGTGGAAGGAAATGCAAGTTAAGGCATAGTACTGGTGTCTCTTAGTTCTTTAAAAAGGAGGGTTTTGTGCTAATATCGATTGGAGATTTTTTATGCCCATATCTTGTACTCTGAGTAACTGCTTTAAAGATAACAGTACGCAATTGTATTGCTATTCTCCCATCATTTTACTATGAAGTTTTTGGTTTACTTTTTTCCCATCCAAAATGCATAATGTTTTAATGTGTTTTGCAAAAGGTTGTTTTTCTTATGGATTCTGAATCCAATATATCCAAAAGATACTACCACACTTGCATTAAATTATACACAGGAAAAATGAACATTTCTCCTTTTTAGAAGAACCTTTTAGAAATAGTTCCAAAACCTTCTTAATTTTGCACAGACTGTCAAGCTAGAAAGTGTTTCCTGTCATATAGCACTCCATCAACAGCGGTGTGCTTTAATATTGCCACTCGTGATAAAATTTTAAAAACAAAAACATTTACTGTGGGACACTTGTACCTTCTTGTATAATTGCTCAGCAGACAATAGAATAAGCATTCCTGGGCTGCAGGCAGACCAGCAGTGCTGGAGGCACCATGTCTAACAACTGGAATTGTGACCCACACTACAGCATAAACTGAAACTCAAGATCATTGCATAAAGTAAAATAAGCCTGTCGTGACGCACAAAGACCGTATCCACTTAGACAATATTCCTAGGGAGTCAGGCTCACAGAGGCAAAGTGAATGACAGTTGCCAGAGCCTGGGGACAGGAGGGAATGGAGAATCTGTATTAAGGGTGCAAAGTCTGTGTCCGGAAGATGGAAAGAGAGCTGGGAAAGGATGTGGTGGTGATTGTGCGATGTCACTGTATTGACTGCCTCTGAACTCTGCAGGTAAAATGCTTACTACTGTAGAAAGTCTATGTGTGTTAATCCAACTAAAACAACAACTTAAATTATTCCTCTAATAAGTAGGTGCTATGGTTGATAAATTGTGTCAACTTGAGAAGTTTAGAAGTTTAACTAAGAGACTCAGCAGGGAGCCAGGATCCTTGCTTTGTAAATACCCTCAACCTCTGCAAGAGGAAGGCACAGAGATTTTGTGAGTACCACCCCTGCCCTGGATGAACCTGTGTACAATATAAGGGAAGAGAAGAGACTTGTTTCCCCCTTTCGTTCTGGCTGCTGCCTTAAAGTGTTGCCCTGGTGCCATGCTACCCTGCTTTGGAGCCAGCTGATTATGGACTGAAACCTCCACAAACAGTGAGCTAAATAAACCTTTCCTTCCTTCATTTGGAGCATTGGGTGTTTTGTCCCAGCAACAAGAGAAAAGTAACCAAGACATTGAACCAGAATTCATATGCACATCTGTGTGCTCTTTCCTCCATGCCTAAATGGAGCTTCATTTTCACAGAGATCTGTTCCAGCAATGAGAAAAGATTTTGTGTCAGAACACTGAACTGAAACCTATGCCACTTCATTAAAGAACAACCACTTATTGATGAGAAAAAAGAAAAAAGAATGAGAACTACTTCTCCCCCTCAAGACGTTTATGGGGAACCCAACCCTTCAGTAGAGTTGGCTGCTTTCTCCCCTCTGTGTGTGACGTTGACAGCTGTCTCAGGCACTTTCCCACCACTGGGACAAGACACCCCACACCCATAACCTAAGGGAGGAGAGGCTCATTTGGCTGTCAGCTTCCAGTGGATTCAGTCCAAGATCTTGCCCCAGAGGCAGACATGGTATCCTGGAGAGTCATGGCAAGGAAAACCTGCCAACCCAAGGCAGCCCGGGAAGCAGAGAGAGGAGAAGGAGGAAACAGCACAAAATCCCGCTGATGAATATGTAGGAACCCACTGGTGAGTGTGGCATCCGTGGTCCACTCACCTTCTAAGCACATGAGAATTTGGGGGACATCTGAGATTTAAACTAACAATTATTATGCTCCTTTAACTACCTAGTAAGCTAGAAGAATAATAGTGGCAAATTGGGGCTGAGTAATTTTTGTTAGGTGATCTCAGCTGTTACCTGAAGGGGAAGCCTGGGCCCCTGTTCCAGTCATGCTGCAAGGGTGAGCTAATCAGGACTCAAGAAGAACCAAGTTGCCACAACCTGGAGAGAGCAGAAATTGAATAGAGCCAGGCACAAGCACAGGCACAAGACCAGTCCTGTTACAGTAACTCCAAGGCCTCAGGCATTTGACTGTGGATCTCTGTTTCAAAGCTGCATTGTGAACTCACCTCCCTTTCTGCTTTACAGGGTTTGTTTCTGTTTTGATTCCTGCTGTACAGTTCCTCATTCCAGTTCAAATTTCTGCAGGAGACAGCCCAATTTGTATAACCCCTTAGTTTGCACATAGCCCCCAAGGGAGATCCCTTCCCTGCCTGTTGACTGACTTCTGGATCAGCCGCTGTGGCATTCAGTAAGATAAAATGTAGGAGGGGGAAGAAAAATAATTCAACCAACAAGAACTTGTGTTATTACAAAAGATCTCCAGAGTTTGGGCTATTTTAAAACTAATTTTTTCACAGCATGATTATCTCGGGACTCTGTGGTTCTTTGAGCTTCCCTCCTCTGTCTGGAGCAAAAGATGATGGAACAAGGAAAGTCTTTCTCAGAAGTCCTCTGCCCCCAGCAGAATTCCTGCTCCCCCAAAGTGGGTTGAATGTTACTGCATATCCAGGCCAGCGCTGATCACAAAAAAGGGAACAGAACAACTGACTGACTTAAAAGCTTAGACCAGTGATGGTAAACCCTTCAGAGACCCAATGCCCAAACTGCAACCCAAACCCCACTTATTTACTGCAGACTTCCAGCACCTCGATTAAACCCAAATACTGATGTTTTTGTTTAGAACAAACAACTCATACATTAACATTTTTTGTCTTAAAAGAAAAACAAATACCACATGCCATAGGTTCACCTCCACTGGCTTAGACCAAACCGGCCAGATTCCTTTCCTGATCCAGTGTCTCCAAACTACTGCACTGGAATTCCATCAGCCAGCAGGAAAGAGTGTGCTGTAGATGTCAAATGAGTATATGATGAAGGCTTAAATAAATGAGACAAGTGGTGTGATTTTAGGGCTCCAGGAGGATCAAAAGCCTCTGCAGAGTTCTTGAATCTGGGGGCTAAGGTGAGGTCTAAGACAAAGAGCTTCTCTGGGCAGCCCATATTTATTACATTTGCAAACAAAGAGAGGGGATCCTCAGGAAAGCACAGGAAATGAGCAGGACACTTCAAAGACTTCTCCAAGTAGTAAGTTAGGCCAGTTTAGGCAGCTGTCTTACCTCCATGATGACATTTATGGTAGGAGTGAGTGCGTGCAGCTGCAGTCTCTACTTACTTAACTGCGGTTGGAGCCAGGTGTCCCCAGCTGTGGCCTTATCTTGCCCTTGGAGGTATCTCTGGCATCACAGGCTACTATAGGTCCTCAACCAGGACCAGTGATTCATAGAGGTTCACTTACTATGAATCAGCTCCCATTGCCCCGCAAGGGCCTAGGACAGACTCACAGATAAACACAGAAAGCCAATGAGTTAATTTTAAATCCTGCTCGGAGCCACTTCATAGTGGTCTCCAACAGGCCAGCTAGCCAGTCAGGTGCTGTCACAGAACCAGAACTGGCCACATGGAAGTTCAGTCCCCCACAGCTGTCTGTTCAGGCTCCATTAGCAGGAGCAGTGTGACAGTCATAGCTAAAGCAAGTGAGTTCCTTATCTGTTTCCAAGCGAAACGCTCGTGTAGACCCAGTGGTTATTTCCAGGTGGCGAGGTAATAGGTGACCTTTATTTTCTTCTTTCTACACTTTCATGTTTTATGACTTTTCCAGAGTATTCATTTTATAATTCAAAAGACGTTGTTTAAAAACCAGTGGAGGGGCCTCTGTGCTTGAAAAATATAAATATGGTATCCCACAGAAAAATGTCTTGTGGCAGCTGTGTTTTAATAGGGAAAGACTTGAAATTTTTTTTTGGTATCGGGGATCAAACTCACGACTTTGCGCTTTGCCAGGCAGGCGCTGTGCCACTGAGCTATAGCCCTGGCCCAAGCCTTGAAATTGATACTAAGCTAATGACGCCTTTGCCCGTACTCTGCCTAATTTAGCCTGCTTCCTGGACTCCATGGCCACCCTGGGACTTGCAGCCTACGGATACGGCATTCGCTATGAATACGGAATCTTCAACCAGAAGATCCGAGACGGGTGGCAGGTGCGTGAGCCATCTTTTTAAAATACTACCATTAAATGCTTCCTGACTTCTTTCACCGTGCTCTGAATAATTTACAGTTTACGAGTCTTTAACACAGAGCTGTAGTAACTTCTCTGGCAGTTGGTTGACAATGCTACTGTCAGTCTCCCCTGTGAAATATAAGTTTCCCAGGAGCAGGGACCCACCAGATCCACAGCACCTGACACAGTGCCTGCCTCTAATTATCTGACCATTGACTGATTTCTCACCTCTCTGAATACCAATTTCATCATCTGTAGAAGAATAGTGATAGTACTTGCCTCGCAGAGCTACTGTGGTAATTACGAAATGTAATCTCCGATGTATTACGTAATGAGTGTCTCCCCATAGCAAGCACCAAGCACATTGGAGTGACTCCCTGTTCTCAGCAGAGGGTTGGTATTTCAGCCTTGAGAGCTGACCTGCACAGGGGACTGTGAAAATGTTTGTCACTGGCCCGTGGCATGAGGACCACCTGCAGCATGTGACATTCCACACCTCAGCTTGCCAAAGGCAAACAGGGCTGCACTTCCCGAGTAATCCTTGCCGGTAAGAGCATTAAGAGCATGTTGTAGTTTTGAAAAATAGAAAACCAAGTCTCTTAAGAAGCAGAGTTATTGGGGCTGGGAATTTAGCTCAGCGGCATAAGCACCTGCCTTACAAGTAGGCGGTCGTGAGTTCGATCCCCGGTACTGATTTAAAAAAAAAGAAGAAGCAGAGTTACACCAGGTCACACTGCTGGCAAACACGTTTGCAGGTATATATCCTTTATTTGTGCCTACTCTCAGAGTTTTAGTGTCCTGACATGCCTGCTTTATAAAATACATAAGCTAAGTGTCTTAACTCTTTTATAAGGTGAAATCAGCCAACTTATATATAAAATCTGGTAATATTTGATATTCCCAACCGTAGTGCTCTATAAAAATGCATACAAACTCATTCACTGATACTGTTTGATTCAGTCTTTCTTTCTCCTTATCTTTGTCTCATGCATACATACCGAGGATAAACTGTATGGATTCGATTTCCTAGAAGCCAGCACCCTCCCAGTGTCTCCCTACTTAAAGACTGAATTCAGAGGCAAAGTGCTCAAGGGTCAGGGGAGTTTAGGCCTGAGCGAAGGCCAGGACAAGAATGCAGAGCAGGGAGTGTAAGGTTAATGTCTGTGCTTTCTCCCTCTTTCTCCATATTTGATGCTTTCTGGCTCAAGACATGAAGGGATTAAAGATTTGTTATGAAGACAATGAAAAAATGGTTCAGAACAATGATGGGAACATCTTATAAAAGAGATATCATAACCCAAATCCCAAATCCTGCTAGGGATCATCAGCAAGGAATATCTTCATCAACCCTAAATGTACAAAAACCAGCAGGCGACCAGATTTGGAAGAAAGTTTGGATGCTAATTTCTAACTTGAGATCTAACTTCAACTTGCTACCCATATATATAGCATGTCACCTCAATTAATTTAACTTGTCCGAGTTCCAGTTTTCTTATTGCAAAATTAAATGAATATGAAAATACCTAGAATATCTGATCCACACATAAGCACTCAGTAAAGTGTTCATTTTGCCTAAGAAAAAAGAGGATGATTTAAAAACTGTAGAGCCTGGGCATGGTGACACACTCCTGTAACCTCAGCATTTGGGAGGCTGAGGTAGGAGGGTCACAAGTTTGATTCCTGCCCCGGCAACTTAAACTCTGTCTCCAAATAAAAACTAAAAAGGTCTGGGAATGTAGCTCAGTGTAAAAGACTCAGATTCAGTTCCCAGTACTGCAAGAATGAATGAATGAATGAATATAAATATTCTGCAAGAAAACAACATACCATTACATTTTTTTAAAATTTTATTTAAAAGGAAAAAGAAAAAAACAAAACAAAACAAAGTGGTGTAAGGGTACAAGTAATACAGAACTTCCAAAAAAAAAAAAAAACCAGTAAGAAATCACCAGTTAATAGATTACACATTATCATCTTAGAGATAGTTGCTTAAGTCACAGTATCAAAGCATACAAACTGGACATTCAAACAGTGAGACTGCAAACAGTTGTGTTCAATGATCCAACCAAAAACATTAATATGGTCATCTATTTAACACGCCTAAACACACTTGCAGTTGTATCCTTTAGAGCACTTTTTTTCCCTCTCTTTTTTACAACAAAATTTACACATTTTGGGTTTTCTTACTCCTTAGTTCTTATTACTTTTTTTTTGGAAGAGAATAAAGTCAAATATGGCAAAACAAAGCTGTCAGTCAAAACCAAGGGTAGACATAGCACATGATGTAAAAACAGAGTACAAAGTTATCAATAATGGTTACCATAATGCCTCTTGCTTCCTTTAAAAAGAATTGTCTATCTCATTAGGTATTATAAAGTTGAACAAAACAGTAGAGAACAAGACCAATAAAACCTCAACCTTGTAAACATTACAGGACTTCCAAAGAAGATAATAGCCAAACCAGAATGGGCATCATAGTGAATCTTATTGCCTTCAAAGTAGTTGCCTATACCCTCAAACTTGATACTATCATACAGAACGGAACAGAGTCTAATCATTCAAAACAAGATAGTGGGAGTATTACAGGACTTCAAATCAAGTTAATAGGAAATCAAAAAAGTTACTATAATATATCCTGCTAATTTTTTATTTTTCCCCTTAATTAAAAAAATCATAAAAAATAACTAAATATTTTTTAATGAATAAGGGAGAGATTGAGATAAAAGAGGACATAACAATATCACAATACAGGTCAAAGCATGACAGTTTCAGCAACCTAGTGCTTCACCACCAAATAACCCGACTTAATAGTAGTTACCATAGTGTCTTCTTCCTTGAAATATTTGAATATAACTTCATATACTATAGCTTCAAATATATCCAGTCAGTGTAAAACCATTCAAGTGGATGAAAGCATTGTAGGGTATTTAGAACCAGCTAACAGAAAACGAACAATGGTTTCTATATTATCTCTTTGCCTATAACAATATTTGTTTATACTGTCACATATAATAAAATCCAGCAAGATACATCATGATAAAACCAATGGAGACAGAAGAGCCATAGTTTGGTGGGGCTTCAAAACAAGATGATACTAAATCAGCAGTAGCTATTATTATGACTTATTTTCTTCAAAATAGCTGTTCATTTAATCACAGGCAATAATATCAAGCAGCCCAGAATAAAGCCATTCCAATTAATAAGTGAAAACTTTATAAGGCTTCAAGGCCACATAATGTAGAATCATGATTACCACATACTTTTATATATTTGAATCATTATTTACATTAGGGAAACTATTCGGTATTCACACATGCAAGATTGATTTATTTCACTTATGAGTATGGTCTCAAGCTGCGCCCATTTATTGATAAATATCTCAATGTGATCCTTCTTTATAGCTGAGTAATACTCCATTGTATAGAAATACAACAATTTTTTTATCCATTCCTCAGTTGATGGACACTTGGGTTGTTTCCAAGATCTGGCGATTACAAATTGTGCTGCTATAGGTGCACATATATCACTGTGGTATGACGCTTTCAGTTCTTCTGGGAATATGCCTAGAAGTGGAATAGCTGGAACAAATGGGACTTCCAACCCCAGCTTTTTGAGAAATCTCCAGACTGACCTCCACAAAGGTTGTACCAGTCTACATTCCCACCAACAGTGTAGGAGAGTTCCTTTTTCCCCACAGCCTCTCCAGCATTTGTTGTTGGTTTTCTTGATCCTGGCCATTCTTTCAGGAGTGAGATGGAATCTCAATGTGGTTTTAATTTGCATTTCTCTAATGAGCAATGATGATGAACATTTTTCATGTATTTATTTGCCATTTGTATTTCTTCCTCTGAGAAGTGCGTATTCATCTCAGGTGCCCATTTTTGGATTGGATCGTTGATTTTTGGGGGTCTGAGTTTTTTTAATTCTTTATATGTTTTAGACAAGAGTACCTTGTCTGAGGGGGAGTTCACTAAGATCTTTTCCCAGTTTGTGGGTTTTCTTTTCACTATGCTGGAGATTTCTTTTGACATGCAGAAACTTTTTAATAAGAGGTGGTCCCAGTTATTGATTCTGGGAAGTATTTCCCGAGCGGTTTGAGTCCTGTTCATGAATTCTCTACCTACCCCTATGTCTTCAAGGTTTCTACCCATTGTGTCTTCCAATAGATTTAGTGTTTCTGTTTTAGTATTCAGATCTTTGATCCATTTAGATTTTAATTTAGTACATGGTGATATGCATGGATCTAGCTTTAGTTTTTGGCAAATGGAGAGCCAGTTTTTCCAACACCATTTATTAAAGAAACTGTCATTCTTCCAGTGAACCTACTTGGCTCCTTTATCAAAGATAAGGTGGTTGAGTGTGTTTGTAGTTGTGGTTGTATCTTCTAATCTATTCCATTGATCTTAGTCTCTGTTTTGATTCCAGTACCATGTTGATTTTACTACTGTTGCTTTGTAGTATAACTTCAAGTCAGGGATTGTGATGCCTCCTGCCTTGCCTTTGCTGCTTAGAATTGCCTTTGCTATTCTAGGTCTCTTCTGGTTCCAGGTGAATTTTAGGAGTGATTTCTCTAGATTTATAAGGTATGTTGATGGTATTTTTATTGGGATTGCATTGAATCTGTATAAGAGTTTTGGGAGAATGGCCATTTTCACAATGTTTGTTCTTCCTATCCATGAGCAAGGGATGTCTTTCCATTTTCTGAGATCATCTTCAATTTCTTTTTTCAGTGTGTTATAATTTTCCCTGTATAGCTCTTTCACTTCTTTTGTAAGAGTAATTCCTAAATATTTCATTTTTTTGCTTGCTAGTGTCGAGAGTGTGGTTTCTCTTATTTCCCTCTCTGTGATTTTGTTGTTAGTGTATAGGAATGCTATTGATTTCTGAGTATTGATTTTGTATCCAGCTACATTACTGAATTTATTTAATATATCTAAGAGTCTTTCAATGGAGTTTAGGGGGTCTTCTATGTAGAGTATC